GGAAGTGGGGGAAGTCAATTCATCTGTGACTCTGCAGAGCTGAAACAAGTTTTTTCTGCCCTCACATTCCACTCACAGTCTGCTTGGACAGAAAATTCTAGGTTGAAGATATAATTAAAGGTGTTGCTGCCTGTCTGTCTTCAAGTTTCCAATGTGACTCAGGAGTTCCATGTTAGTTTTATTCCTAACTATAAATACAGTTTTTTCCTCCAGAAGTTTTTTGGATCTTCATTTAATTCCTGTGTTCTGAAATTTCACCATGATGCATGCCTTTTTCAATCATTGTTCTCGGTTTTTGTGAGGCATTTTAACCCAGAAACACATTCTTCAGTTCTCAGAATTCTTATATTATTTCTTGGTAATTTCCTCCCTTGCATTCTTTTCTATTTTCTCTTTTAAATGTTAGACTTCCTGCATTTGCTCTCTAATTTCCTACTTTCATCTTCTCTCCCATCTCCTACTTTGCTTTTAAAATTTTGTTTTCTGGGAGAATTCTTTGCACATCTACAATTTCTAAACTTTATCTGTCATATTTAAAATGTTAAGGACTGATCTTGTTCATCATTTGCTATTCTTTTTTATCATATCCTGTTGGTGGATACAATACCTTCTCTTGAGAATATAAATTGTAATTTCTTTCATGTTTTCTTCTACTTCTGAACCATCTCTGTTTCTTCCAAGTTCTATTTTTTTCTTTCATTTGTAGGCCTCCCACACAGGTCTTTCATTTTGTTTTAAATAAATTTTGAGCTACAATTTTTAAGTTAAAAGTACCCATTTTAAGTGTACAGTTCATTAAGTTTTGGGAAGCATCCATGCCCATACAATTACACCACTATTAAGATATAGAACACTTCCGTCACCCCAAAAAGGGGTTCCTTCTCTTTTTCCAGTCAGTCCTAACCCCATCCCAACAACCACTAACCTGCTTCCTCTCACTACAGGTCAACCTTCCTTGAGGTTCTTGCGGATGGGACCACACCACATGCAGCTTCTGTGTACTGCTTCCAGCTTTTGCTGTGCACAATGCTTTCAAGATTCGCCCAGGTGCTTATACGTATCAGCCACGCAATCCTTTTCCTTCCTGGATGAGATTCCTCCCATAACTAACTATTTCACAGAGTTGAGTTTCCTGCTGATGGACATCTGAGGTGTCTCCAGTGTAGGCTATTATGAACTGAACCACAGTGAACACTCAAGCACACATCTTTGCATGGACAAATGTCCACATTTTTAAGAATGGGGCACTGAAGGCCAAGTGATGCTGAGTGTGGAGCTGCTCAGCATGCCTACTTTAGGTTAGGGTCCAGAAAGCAGTATGTCTGTCTCTTTGGGAGGAGTGGATGAGGATGAGAGCAAAGTTGACAAGTGGAAGGAGCTTGTTATTCAGTAAAGTGTTCCACTTACTCCTGGCTTCCTCTGGCTTAGCATCCTATCTCCTCTGGGCTGGTGTACCTGGCCTGGAGCCCCTGCTTCTGAGTTTCTTGAGGAAAAAAATCCTCTAGTCTCTGCCTGGCTGATGGGACTTAAGAGGAACCTGAGCCCAAACTCTGATCTATAACAAGGGGGTATATGGAAATATGCACTGTGCTAGCTAAAACCAAAAGTCTGTGAATAACTTTTGCAATTTGTAAAAAGCAAGAAAGTCCTCCTAAGGTGGTGAGCAGGAGTATGGAATTCCAGCAGGGTTATGGCTGCATCCCCAGATCTCTCACCCCAGAATGTAGCCCAGCACTCAATGTCCACTGCAGACCAGCCAGCAAGTCAAGGCTGGGGAGACCCTCCGAACATGTTAAGGAAGGTAAATCTGAAATGGTAACATTTTCTGAATTTACTATTAATTTAATAATGGTTCACTTTTATTTTTATGAGTTTTGCAATTTGTCCAAGTCTTTTCAGGAGGGGAGGGGAGTTTAACTGCCTTGATCTTCTTGGCTCTCAAATGAACACCAGCAACCCCAAGCAGCACGTGAGGAAACTGGGTCAGCAAGGTCAAGTGGCAGGCTCAAGGACATGCAACTTGTTTGGCACAGTCAGAACTAGAATTCAGGTCACCTGACTCTCCAGAAGTGCCTCTTTAATGTCACATTACCTCCTGGACATCACTGCTGAGCCAACAACCAATGCTGACTATCACCAAGAGCTGGGGGAGAGAGGAGCTCTGGCCCTGGCCCTCGACTCTGTACATTCTAACCCATTTGGGGGGAAGGAGGTTGGGATTAAACCCAGAGGTACTTTACCATTGAACTATCTCCCCAGTCCCTTTTAAAATTTTTATTTTTTATTCTGAGACAGGGTCTCGCTAAGTTGCTGAAGCTGACCTCAAACTTGTGAACCTCTTGTCTCTGCCTCCCAAATTGCTGGGATTACAGATGTGTGCCACTACACCCAGCTCCCACCCACTTTTTCTGACTCTCACTGAGAGGAACAGCAGGCAGATGTCATCATCACCTTCTGCAGTATAGGGAATCGAGGGATATAGAACTAAACTCTTCTGGCCAGGGGCAGAAATTAGAGCCCTAAGCCCAGTTTTCTTACTCCTCCCCTCTCCCAAGAATAGGAGGAGGGGAGAGAGTCTCTGCAGCAGCTCTGAGGCACTCACTTCCCTGTCCCCTGGCCATGGCAGGACTGCCAGAGCACTTCCCAGACAGGAAGTTTCTGAGGAGACCGTAGCCCTGTGGGCCTCTGAGATTCCTTCCAGCCTCATCCTAGAAACACCTCTGCAGAGGTGGCAATAGCAGCAAGTTCTTAGAGACAAACCTGTGCCCGTGGTAGGATTTGTGGTTTTGTTTTTAAGAAACATATTTTTCAAAACAAAACAAGCCGGGCGTGGTGGGGCACACCTGTATTCCCAGCAGCTCAGGAGGCTAAGACAGGAGGATAGAGTTCAAAGCCAGCCTCAGCAACAGCAAGGTGCTAAGCAACTCAATGAGATCCTGTCTTAACACAAAATACAAAATAGGGCTGGGGATATGGCTCAGTGGTCAAGTGTCCCTGAGTTCAATCCCCAGTACCCACTCTGCCCCCCCAAAATTAAAATGATACCTACCTAGGCTGAATTCTAAAATGGGTTCATCTGGATCTTGTATGTTTCCTGAATAGAAATGAAAGAATGAAAGAAAAAAATCACCTTTATTAAATCTTTCCTTGCTTTTTTAGATTTAATACAATAAAATCTACCACTCTACTTCTTCCCACACCCAACCCCCAGTTATTATAGGAAATTATTTCTTTGCTTTCTAAACATTTTACCTTTGAGAAGCCTCAGGTTCTAAGACCACAATGCCCCTCCTTCTGGGGTCCACATGCCCACAATGCAGAGGGTTTGTCACAGCCAGGTACGTACTATGGACATTCCTATATCATCTATTGGCAAATGGGCCCCAAAGAGGCCCACTTAAACTGGAAAAGATGACGATCAGGATCTAGCAGAGCACCTCCCAGGGGGAGGGTTGACTGTCCCTCCCAATTTCCTAGATCAATCATAAGAAAGCCACAGCAGAGCACCCTCCCCATTCTTCCCGTCCATCCTATGCCCAGGAGGCAGGCTTGGACAGTGTGGGCCCTACATGCTGAGAACTCACACCAGGGGCCCTGGGCAGACCCTGCGAGGCTCACCTGCCAGAGACAGGCCCAGCATATCGGCTGCCACATCAATGGTGGAAGCCCGTTGCATTGCACGGGCCCTTGCGCCATGGCGAGGGCTGTGCTCTCTTGCTGTCATGATGTCATTTGTGAGGATGTGCTTCTTGTTCCTGGGTCAGACCACACCTGATTCCCCAGGAAGCAATGTCACCAAGTCCTAGTCTCCTAAGGTGGCAGAAGCCCTGAGAAATAGAAGCAAACACTGGTAAGAAGCCAGAAGGATGGTGACTGCAAGGCACTATGGAGAAAGAACAAGACCTAACGTGGGCAAGAGGCAGTAACCAGGGTCCTCTGGCAGATAAAGCACTGGGGTGGCATACCCGCTGCTCTCAGCCCATCTAATTACTACTTCTCCCCTCCACTCCCCCAACACGGTGCACCCACGGATTCCCATAAAGAAAACATGTTCTCTTCAACAGATATGCCACAATAAATGATGTGACTTATGTGCTCATACAAATGGCTTTTGCCACATCCAGTGGCACATGTCTATAACCCCAGATACTCAAGAAGCTGAAGCAGGAAGATCAAAAGTTCAAGGCGAGCCTTGGCAACTTAGTGAGACCCTGTCTCAAAATTAAAAAATAAAAAGGACCAGGGATACAGCTCAGTGCTAGAGCATCCTGGAATCAATCCCCAGTATCACAAAAAATAAAAATAAATAAATAAGGCTTTTGAGATTTTTCTTGTTGCTTTATTATGCTCTCCTATAGGCAAGTCTTACAGATCCTTTATAATCTCCAATCAGTTCACCCCTGCTTGGATAGGGACAAGAGCTGCGTGAGAGGCCTGCAGTCCACGGGCACAGAAGAACTCTGGAGGGACAAAACTCAGGTCTCTAATCTACTTTTCTGCTTCTCTGAGCTAAACAAACTCCTGTGTGTCTTGGTCTCAGGCTCTGTTTCCCACAAAGCACCAAGTGGTAATCTGCGCCTAACTGAAGGGGAAAGTGCTGAGGTGAGATGGCGCAGGGGGAACTGCCGCCACAGGCTGAGTCAGACAGAGACTGCCCTGGTGCAGCACAGGGCTCACACTCCACTCCCAGAAGTAGGTTAAGCAGAGAGAATGGGGTGTCGGGGTTATCCAACCTATGTCCTACAACTCCTGCTGGATCCAGAGGAGCCAATCTTTGTAAGTCAAGATAATGAGGCTAAGTCATAAGGCTGTTAAAAACATCCTCTTGAATGTCTCCACACATCCAGGGAGACCCATCTTCCCACGGGTTTCTATGACTCTGTACCTGAAGGACCTGGGCTTCTTCTCTTGACTCAAATTCAAGTGACTTACTGGACATGTTTGCTTTTGGACCACGTGGCATTTCTTCATAGAAGATCATCCAAATCCATCATCTAAAAACAGAAAAGCAGAAACTTGATGAGCTGATCAATCTGAAGCTCCTGAGAACACAAAGCCTAGAAAAGTGGGGAGCCAAGAGCTACTCCATGTTGTTTGAGCTCTATACCCCAATCTAACTTTTGGCTCAAAAACACAAGTCTTGCTCAAACCTAAAAGAATAAGAAATAAAAAGTGCCCACTCCTTCCCCCAGCTGCCAAGGGGTAATCTGTTGGGGGAGTCTGGGCCTGCCCTTCAGAGCCAAGTGAGCAGTTGAGTGGGTTTAGGAAAAACACGGAGATGTGAATCTGAGTCCGAGCTTTGCTGCTCACAAAACTAGACCCCAGGAGAACCCTTAGAGGCTATGCCTTTTGGCGCTGAAGATAAGACTAGTTGTACATGTCACATAGGGCTGCAGCTGAAAACCAAATAAATATGTGAGAAGAGGACTCCACTGAACCTTCCTCTGCCCCTGCTGCTGTTGCCTGGTTCCCAGAAGGAAGTGTCAGGCCCCACTCAGGACCCAGGGCCCAGCTCATGAGCTACCTGAAAAGTCCCAGGTTCTGGGAAGGGGAAGACAACAAGAAAAGTGTGCTCAGCCCTCAGGCAGACTGTTTCTGGCCCCTATCTCTTCCACTGGGGATGCCCAGGGGCCCTCAGCTAGGCACCTCAGCAACCTCAGTACAGAGCCTTGGCCTGGCAGGGGAGCCACTGTAGAAATCACTAAGGGAAAGATTCACTGTTTTGTTGGTTTAATCACAGCCAGGCATGCAGGTACAGTCAAAAGGTTTACGGGGGCTGGGAATGAAGCTCAGTGATAGAGGGCTTTCTTAGCATATACAAGGTCCTGAGTTTGATCCCCAGTATCCTGGCCCATCCCCACCCCCACACAAAGGTGTACAAGCCAAAAAAATATTCAGTACAAACTGTGCAGCTGTACAACTATAGTACTAAAACCTGCATTTTACAGTAATGCTGTTATAAATGAATAAAAATTCACTAATAATGCAAATGGCAAGTGGTATGAACTCATGAAAGATGAATACACATGGTAAATATTCTGGAAAAGAGACCAAACTCTATAATAATGAAAGCAATGCTAAATACACCTATCTTCACCTAAATTAGTGGAGGTTTATCTGTTCATCTAATGAAAACACATGTTGCTAGTGGACCCGGGGGACACTGCACAGGGCTCTCCTATACTCAGGTCACATTTTAAAGTTGTATAAGCATTTCAGAAAACAAATCTTCAAAATTTATAAGTGATAACAATATTTGTAAGTGATACAAGATTTGTAAGCAATAACAAGATTCTTGCCAATAATACAAAATATGTAACGGACTACTGAACAGAGACACCTGTAGCATTACTTCTAATGACAAAGACCAGCTATCAGTATGTATGTTCTGGAGAAACCATAAGATATGCTATTTATTATACAGCTGCTAAAATGATCCTAATAAAGCCCATAAACACATGAGAAGTTCTTCAACCTCATGTGTCATCAGGGAATGCAAAATGAAACCATGAGCTACCCCTGAACACCCACTAAAGGAGCTTCAAGGGAAAGAGTGGGCAGAGCCAAGTGCTGGCAAGGATGTGGGATGGTAACTGCCCCTGATGTAGCTGGTGCAGCAGAAGCAGTGTGGCCACTCTGGAAACCTGGCCATCTCTCTGCAAGCCGTGCATCTGCCTCTCCCATGACCCAAGACACCACTCAGGGTGCAACAGCTAACAGAAATGCACACTTATGTCCACCAAAACAAATGTGTGCAGAACATTTAGAGCAGTGACAGCCTTAACTGATAGTAAGATCCCAGAGATAATCCACACCCTAATCAACAGCAGGATGGAACAACGTGGATGAACTTTGGAGACAGTGTCATGGGGAAAGCCAAGCACACAAAGCTGGCTCTAGGCAGGGCTGCCTGTGTGGGGTGCCCCCAGGCATGGAATCCGTGAGTAAGGAGTCAGCAGAGGGCTTTCCACTGGGAAGGGCTAGTGGGGCTCTGATAACACCCTCTTTCTTGGTTTGGGGTCTGGTTCCCTGAGTGACTACACTGAAGATTCACTGAGCTGTGCATGAGTGGGTTTTGCACCTCAATAAAAAGTGCATTTAATTCCTCTACTAACTATAATAAAGACAACACAGCATGAACAAACGCTGATGTGGGCTCTGCGTATCAGGTGTGCTTTAATGAACTATTCCACCTGCGCTCTGGTCACAGCTGTTTAAAGAGCAATGACCCAGAGGGAAGGAGCCCCAGGGAGACCACACTGAGACACTGGCCATGTCTGGGGTGATCTTGGGGTTTGTGTTTTCTGTCTTCCTGTACCTCATCCTTGTGCATCATGGAAGGGTGCACCCTATGCTGACCCACTGGGTGTGACTGTGGTGTGAGGGAAGAGTTCCTGCCTCTTGACCCTTTTCCCAGTGTGTCTCCAACATTCCATCACCTGCCCCACTGCCCTGCTCAGTTTGGGACTGAAGGAGCCAGGGAGACACTTTGAGTGGGACAGCGGAGACACATCACCTAACTGAGGGCCTCATCTGTACCCCACCATCTTGCCAGTCCTTGGGGGCTCCACTTTTATCCCCTTCTCCTCCTCCAGCTGGGTCCCTGCACATTTTTACATTATTATAGGTGTGGTGGCGTCTCTGGAAATAGAAATCCTTCGAGTAGAACATCTACAGACTAATTTTACACTAGATCATGGGTCAGAGAAACTTTTAGGTCAAAAATACTTCAGAAGCCACTTCATAGTTATTTGGGGGCATTTAATTAGAATCTGCAATTGAAATCACCAAGACCCAGAATGTGAAGCTAATTTGCACAGCTGAACTCGATTTTCCTTCTTGGTCTCATTAACTTCAGATAATTCACCAAGGACTCCTGTATTCCCAAAGCCCATGTTTTCCTTCCCAGCTTCATCTGAAGATCAGACAAAGCTCATTAGGAGGAAGAAAAAAACGGGGCTTAACTCAGGGAGCACAGAGAGAATGTTGGAGTTGTTTGGGGGGCTGAAATTTCTTCTTGGGGGCAAGAAAGCAGCAACTGATCATGAAATTCATGCCCCCTTTCCCCACTCTGGAAATACGGGACCCCTTTCAGCAAGAGAACGCATGTCATCAAATGGATAGCAAACCCTGAGGTCCCTCCCACCAAGGTCCCCTTTCCTAGGCAATGCTGACAAGGGATCCTGGTGAGTCAGAGTGATGTGGGGCTCCATACAGGGAGTAGGATTCGTTAGTGTTGGCAAGGACTCTCAGAAGCGTCTAAGGAACCAGGCTTGGGAAGGAACTTAGGAATCTCAGGCCATGAAGGAGTCTGAGAGGCCCCTGGACTTCAGTGGCCTTTCAGGGGCTGCTGAGATAGTACTGAGGATGGGGATGAACCATAAGAACTCCACTTTGGTCCATCTTATACACTGGCATTCTTCTGAAAATAATCTTCAAAAGAAGTTGCAAAGATGAGATTGCACAAGTACAGACAGGTGATTTTTCTCAAGGTCACCTGGAGGTGAAGAATGAACTACCAGAATCCATGTAAAGCAAAAAGCCCAAATATGACTGGGGCTCCTCTGCTGCCCCGCCCAGCCCTTTGCTGAACTTGTGGCAGCAAACAAGCCAAGAACCTTCCCTGTGCCCCCACTGTGCACACACAGGCAGAGTACAAACACAGGGACAGACAGGACCATGAAAAGTATAAGAGTCAGTGTGAGTCAGCGGCCCCTGAGGGAGAGCTACTTTAGGAGGTGGAAAGAAGAGGAACTTTCTCTCAAAAGCTGGAATCCAGGATAGCTGATATCACTGCTCGATGAGGTGTCTCACCACTCATGGGCACCCAAAATTACTATTATAACAACCTAAGATGACAAATGTCTCCTTCCTCCAGGAAGCCTTTACTGTAGATAGACCTTACTGACAAGGGTTCCCCTGACAGGGCTAAGCATCTGTACCTCAGGGTACTGCATTTCCTTGAGTGACAGTGGAAGAGCCATCTGGGAACCTTGTGTTTCTCCCATGTCCTCTGGGGTGCCTAGCTCAAGCCTAACCCTGCACCAGGGTGCCTAATGCATACCTGATGCTTAAACAAATCATCAGCCTCTGGGCTCACCTCTCTGGCTCCACCCTCTTTCTCAGGCACAGTGACAGGTCCTTCTCTCTAGTCCCCTTCCAGTTTTGTCAAGCTGTGTGACTGAGTGCAGAAGAGGCACCTGCCTACATGTGGATGGTAAAACACTCTTGAGATCTCTTCCCAGCTTGTAGTGGAGTAGGCAGATGATTCCAAGGCCCCAGGGTAACTCAGAGTTACAAGATGGAAGGAAATCAGGTCCTTGAGATCCTATGGAGCACAGCCCTCTCCCCTCCTTTTCCCCACATACATACTGGGCTTAAGTTAAGAAAGAAATAAGCCTTTGTGGATGAAGCAGCAATTGATCATGAAACTCATGCCCCCTTTCCCCACTCTGGAGACATGGGACCTCTTTCAGCAAGAGAACACATGTCATCAAATGGATAGCAAACCCTGAGGTTTGGGGGTTTTTGTTACAGCATCTAGAGTTAGTAACCCTGAAATGTCTGGCAATACCAGGCACTCAATTAGCCACTCTAATGAAACAAACATGACAATCAGCACTTAAGACTTGAGCACAGCCTGGGAGAAAAGGATGCTTTGTTCTCTGGGTGAAGTATGGCTGATTCAGGATAAAGGAGCACACAGGTGATAGAGGGACCACCAAGAGGCCAGGAAATAGGAAGAACGCAGAGAAATAAAGATCTCACATTAGTAGAAAGTCAACCAGACAAGAGCATTTGCCTCCTACGGGAACCAGGAAAAAACTCAGTTTCTGCTACAATTCTCGCACAATCGAGAACAGGTCTGTGAAGCCCAGGTACCTGGGGTATTCCCACATACCAATCAATTCCACAGCACAGTCTCCAGCGGCACTAGCTGGGAGACCTCTACTCTAATCCAATTTGATCCTGACACCATCTGAAAATGGTGTCAGATCCCACAGGCTGTGGGTTCAGGCCCATAAGACTGCCCCCCCCCACTTCAGATGTCAATCACAAGCACAGATTGTCACCTATACTTCTGACCCACTGGCTATCACCTGGGAGTTCTGACTCTCTTTAGGTTCAATTAATTTGTTACAGCAGCTCCAGAACTCAGAGGAACAGTTACTCATGTTTACTGGTCTACTACTGGTTTATTCTAAAGGCTATTACACAGGGTACAGGTGAAAGCCAGATGAAGAGATGCACAGAGCAAGGCCTGTGGGAAGGGCTGCCACGTTCCAGGAACCTCCATACATTCAGCCAGCTGGAAGCTCCCAGAAGTCACATCTTCTGGGTGTTCACAGAAACTTCACTGAATAGGCATGACTGATGAAATCATTAGCACTGGTTTTTCAGCTCAGCCACTTCCAACCCTCTAAACACATGACTGGTTCCTGGCAACCCCTCAGGAAGGTGGTTCAGGAGTCCCCAGCCACCAGCCATCTCATTAGCATAGAAAAGACACTTATCACTCTGGAGATTCTAAGAGCTATATTTTGGAATCAGAATTGAAAGAGGAAATCAAATTTCACACCCCCTCTTTAACTTCAGGCCAGGCTCAGGACACCCAGAACACATCTACTGCTTCTCTACCTGCAGCATCCCCTAGGCTAGACCTAGACCCTGAGGTTCCAGACACTCCATGGTATGAGATGGCCTTAGTGCTAAGAGGGAAGTTTCACTGTTGTGGTCCTAGAACTGCTAATCCAACCAAAGCCGAAAAGATGAGCCACTTGCTGCCATGAGGTGTTCCAGATCAGCCTCTATTCCACCCATTCCCTAGGGCCAGAGGGAACTGAGGCTACCCAGGACTCCACCTGGACTTGGACCCATTGGAAGCCCAGCAAATAAGGGTTGACAACAACATGGGTGCAAACTTCACAACACAGGCACAAACCTGGAAGTGGGCATAGGGTGAGTGAAACACCAGTGCCACAGATGAAATGGGTCAGATCCAGACAGCTACAGTGACAGGGATGGGCAAGAGGCATAGGGCAAGGCCCACAGAGAGGAAGAGAACCAAGGTAAGGGTGACCAGAACTCAAAGTCTTCACTCCAGGGAAAGGCAGTGGTGGTCCAGGAGAGGCTCCACATACCCATCTGCCACCACAGCTCATTCTCTGAAAGGGACAGGTGGCACCCACAGGACCAGGAAAGCCTGGCTTCTGTTCCAGAGCAACAGTCAGTGGTGGCAGAAACCTGCTCTGCCTTACGAGTGGAATGAATGAGCGGCTGAACACCTCTATGCGATAGCTCCAATGGAAATGCAAGCCTTGACAGGGAAGGGTGTGCAGAGAAGAGTGTGCGCCCAGGTGGGAAGACAGTAAAACCCACCCTTCCTTAAGTCCGGCCAACCGAGGAGGCAAGGAGGAGGGTGTTCAGTACAAGAGAAAATCGCTGCCATCAGATGAGAATAAAAGCGGGTGGGCTGGGCATGGGTTATTAAAAGCTAAAGGGAGAGCTCTGGGAGGAAGAGGAAGGAAGGACTAGGCCCAGCTAGAAGGCCTGTATTTTAATTTAGCAGATCTGAAGACTCCTTCAACCAATGGCTACTCCCCACCCCTTGCCTCCTCCCTCACTAAAATGCCAGAGAACAGCAGAGGCAGTGGTCTCTTAATCTTCCCCTTTCAAACAGCAGTCATCTGCACAGGGAAGTTCTTAATCTTTGAGGCAAAATCAAACTGCCTCCCGACCATAAAAGGCAAACAATGCCACCTGCCTCAAAGGATCAGGTAATAGTGGAACAATGGCCAGAGGCTCCCAGGACAAGGAAGAGTGGAGAGAAGAGCTGGGGAGGACACAGGAAGGTCTTCATCATGCTCCTCATGTATTATGGCCCAGATCTCACAGGCTCCTAGGACTCCACGGCAAGCTCTTCACACCTGTCCTTCTGCAACCTACACCTTCAGTTCAATCTGCGAAGCATGCCACTTCAGAGTCCTCCTCCCCTAAGGCAGCCTTGCAAGAGTTGTCAACTTCTTCAACCTCAGGCTCCAAATCTGCACAGAAGGAATAATGGATGCCCTGAAGAGAAACACCCAGAACACCCTCAAGGAGCCTGTGGCGAGGTTCTCACCTCTGCTTTTCCTCTCCTCCCCTGAGGACAGCCCTGGGTGCTTTCATACTGGGGGTGCCTTTATACTGGGGGTGCTTTTATACTGGGATTCAATAAGCCTGGAAGGCTTTTGTCCACAGCCAAGTCTGGGTGAGTTCCACCCAACTCTCCAGCCTTCTCTGACTCCTCTAAGCAGAGCTCTTCTCCACAGTCCTCAGCACTTGCTCGTGTTGCAGATTATAGTGACCATGTTTTCCAAAACAAATATTAAACATAAAGGGTATTGCTGAACGGAAGCCCTTCTTGGAGGCACCATGGCTTGTGGAGCAGCCTGGGCACTGGCGTCACACCAGTGGGGAAGAGAGCTGACACCTGGTGAAGCACAAACAAGCATATGACCTTCTCCAAGGTCCCGTCCCTGTGCCTGAGTTTCCCCAATCATACCATGAGGACAAAACTCTGTTAGAAGGATGGGTGAGGAGACCCCAGCTCCCTGGGGAAGAAAGTGAGGTGGATGCTCTGATGTTCCAGGCTTTGCATCTATTAAGCAGCTCTCTATGCTGGAGAGGCTTTCTCTGTGCCTCGGCAGAGCTCAGCTCTCTGGCACTTTCTGCTCCCAGTACCTGCACAGGGGAAGAGGACTACAGGGAGGAAAGCTCTGACCAAAGAACTCACCATGCTGCGGAGCATCAGTGCAGCTGCTAGTGCTTAACAGCAGAAAAGACAGTGCTTTAGAAAATCAAGCAAAGGAAGATAAGAAAGTGCCAGTAATCTGCATCCCTTCTCACCCACAGACACAAACACCTGCCCCCGCTCCCCACCTGCTTGTGCTACCTGGGAGATGATCAACCCTGTACCTCTGGCTTCCCATTTCTCCAGCACTGTTCTCTACCAGTGACAATGGTAACGAGTTTTCACCCAATTTAATAGACATTAACAGGCCTCATTATTTTAATGAACATGGCAACTGAAATAATGACTAAGCCCAGATACTAATGCACATCCCCAGACTCTAATTCAGGGGGCTGGTCACCATGCTGGTCAGCCCAGGTTAGAACTGATGCCCTGAGTGGTCCCCCAAAATTTGTGGGTTGAAACTTAATAGTCAGTATGAAAAGTGTGATCCAGGTGGTGCCTGCCTGTAATCCCAGGTAGGCAGGAGGCTGAGGCAGGAGGATTGCCAGTCTGAGGCCAGCCTTGGCAATTTGGTGAGACCCTGTCTCAAAACAAATAATAATAATAAAAGACTGGGGGTGTACCCCTGTGGTACAGAGCCCCAAGTTCAATGCCTAATACCACAAAACCAAAATAAAACAGGTAATCCTTTAGGCGGCCATTAGGTCTGAAAGGCTCCACCCTCTTGGATGGGCCTAGTGCCGTATAAAAGGGCTGAGGGGAACTAGCTAGGCCCTTTTTGCCCTTCTGTCTTCCATATGTGAGGACACAGCAAGAACGCATTCACCAGACCGTGATCTTGAACTTCCTACCCTCTAGAACTGTAATAAATAAATCTTTGTTGTTTATGAATGACCTAGTCTCAGGTACTGTACAGCAGCCCAAACAGAGACATTATTAGATAGGCCAGTGGACATCCTTTAAATGACTGAGCAGAGGACAATTTTCACAAGAGCAGAACGAGCCCAGATGATTTCGCCTTTCTTTCCTGGTCCCAAGCCCCTCTCGTTTTCCCATCTCAGTCAGTGTGGCTCCATCTTTTCCACTGCTCAGAGCAAAAAACAAAATCAGGGCAAGCCTTCTCTGATTCCTCCTCTCATCTGCATCCCAATCCATCACGATTCTGTCAGCTCAACCCTCCCCACAGATATAGACTTCAACCCCCTCAGCACTCGAGCACCCCCGCCTTGGGCTTCTGACCAGTGTCCCTCCTACAGCCCAGTCTATCTACAACAGCAGCAGTAAGGACCCTGAGCCTTCTAGCAGCATCTTCACCCTGCCCAGGCCAGCCTGCCTGCTGGTCAGACCTCACCTGGAAGGCCTTCACACCAACCTCCCCTCTCTGGAACTCTTCTTCCTGGGACAATGGAGAAGCTGCCTCACTTTCTTTGTGTCCTTCCTGAATCTCAACTTCTCCAAGAGGCCTTCAAGGTCAGGTTAGAATTGAAGCCTGGCCCCTAGTGGTCTACCTACAAGCCACAAACCTCCAGGGGATTATCGGTATAGGAAGTAGTTGAAAATAAGACACCCTGAAAAGAGCGCAGTAAAATGCCTGTGCCGAGCAGCACGTGCGCCAAGCCCTGGGTCTGGGTGCTTGCAGTCTGGGCGATGAGAGATGAGTTAAAAATAGCAGATGTGACATTAACCGGGCATCAAGAGCAGCTGTGGTTGGTGTGTGGTCCCCTTGGCCACCTCTGCTATAACAAACCCTCCTACCTCATGCTTCAGCCACTTTTTCTTAAACACCTACACTTTCTTGCTTCTATATCTCATGCTGTTTCTTATGCATAAATTGGTATTTTCTTACACAAACAGTTGAAGGTCCATTATGGAAAATTTAGGAACTCAGAGACGAACAGGGAAGCTTCATCAGGAGCTATGCCACAAGAAATGTAACAAAAACATATATGGCAGACAATCTGAGGCCACACTGGTGGTGGCCTAACCTCCTTGGGAACCCACCCTTGCTCCTTTCCAGCCAGGGCACCCCCTACTCCTGTGCCAGCACCAGGGGTTCTGGAGGCTTTTCTTGTGGTCAATCAATCTAGTGTTCTCAGACATTCCCCTCTCACTCCCATGCACGAAGCGACACTTGTCATTTGATGAGTTTCCCAGTACAACAAAGACAATGAGAACCCTGTGTTGAATGGTGACTGCCTATGGAGTCATCAGGGCTGCCTATGGAGTCCTGGAGACAATGTCCACAGTGTCAGTGCTGTTCTCTCTCCTATGACTGTCAATGGCTTTAACAAGTCTCATTTCTTGCTCCACTGTCAACTCAGCCACTTGAAACCCTCCCACAATTAACTGAAAGTTCACCTCTATGTTGGCAGGGAAGACCTTCCATTAGTGCCACAGAAATTTACAAATAGGTGTATAAATGGATTGAGGAAACCATCATTATCTACCAACTCCCACATCAATGAGAACACATGGTTTCTGAAAACTGTGAGCCAAAGTGACAAGGACAATGGCTTACCTGTGACCTGTGGGTCAACTTATCTGAGTGAGGGTCCACACCAACCCCTGAAGGAAAGTATCACACATCCAGATGCCCCCCACCAACCCAGGGCACTTACTCAAGCTTGTCCTAGAAGATACAGCTAGAAGTCTACACAATGTAAACCCACCTGGCCTGGGCTCCTCTGTGTCTGGGTGGGGCTCTGAACTCCAGTAACAGGCTAGGTGTGCCCTGTTCTTTGCCTGAGGCAGGTCTTTCTATTCTCTTTTCTTCTTCCACCCAAACCCAAGCCTGGGAAGGCCTGTCCTGGTGGCTGCTTTTACCTCCCTCCACCCAGAGGCCACAGGAAGCTGGACCCTACCTCCACCAGGAGGCCTCCATCTCAAGTTCTGCCTCTCCTCCTTCTCCTTCAGGAGTAGGATGATCACAGCTACTCATGCCTCCTTAGGACAGCACCCCATGCCCCCATTCCTAAGGGGTTCAACAATGAGGCTTTCATGGTAGACAGATTCTGGAGACTTTTGCTATCGTCATCCAAACAGGTAAGACATTATCTCCTTATCTGCAGTTTCACTTTCCAAGTTTTCAAATGACTAAAACATTAAATGGAAAATTCCAGAAGTAAACTATTCATCAGTTTTAAATTGCATGCCATTCTGAGCAACATGATACAACCTGTCCTACTCCATTCTGTCCAAGAAGTGAATCATCTCTGGGTCCACTGTATCCATACTGTATATGCTACTGACCTGTTAGACAATATAGCAGTCATCTCAATTATGAGATCTAATGGTATTGCAGTGCTTGTGTTCAATTAATCTTTCTTGTACTTTCTATTATAATTGTTCTATTTATTATAATACAGCAATTGTCCTATTTTTTGTTGCTTATTATTGTTATCTTTGTGCCTAATTTATAAATTAAACTTCATCAGAGACATGCATGTCTAGGAAAAAACATAGTATATATAGGGTTTGAACTATCCATGTTTTAGGCACTCACTGGGGAGCTTAGAACATATCCCCTGAGGTCAAGGGGGACTACTGCATTAACAGCCAGTACTCCTCTGCTGCACAACAGTGGAGAAACCCAACTCACTCAAATGAGCCTAAGTGGAAGCTCATCCCGTGTGTCCTAAAGATTCTAGACTGACTTAGAAAACTGGAGCAGGAACACAGCTAGTCAAGCCCATCTGAAGTAGGATGGAAAAAAATAAATAAAAGGTAGAGACAAAAGGAAGAATAAGAAAATATAAGCTAATTTAAAAGCTTTGTTCTAAAGCTCCTCATACCCTCACTTCCCAACCCAGTTCTCTCTCTCAGGCCTATCACTACCAAATTTTTGGGAAATCTGTAAATCTTAAGAATTAACATAAATTCACCCACTTAAAAAAGTTAACTTGTGCACTCTTAATCAGCCCACATAATAATTAAGCAAAGAGAGATGCACTATTTTAAGAAACCTGTAATACAGGGTACTTCCCAATATTATCTACTGATCAAATAATGGAGACCACCTAGGCCTAAAGATCCTGAGAATGACCAGACCTCCATAAACTTATGTCAACCTTCTATACCTTCCATGTCCACTCATCAAGTTTCCTTTAAAAGAGCCCAAGAACTCTAAAGTGTCTCTCACTCCTGAGATAGCCCATGTTCTCCCTTGAACATGTATTCCTTGCTTTCTTAAACCTATATGCCTCTAACTTGTCCTTAAACTAATTTCTCTGATGTCTGTCGAGAACCCCACTCACTCTGAGTTGAGGTCCCCCTGTACAGGAAATTCCTTGGTCCTCCTCAGGTTGCACATGAACTCCAAAGCCAAGAGACAGGCAGCCCTCCTCAGCTCCCCTCTGCTTATCCGTATCAGTCTCCTCACTCACAGATGAGCCAGTCTACGTAGTGGGAAGTAAGGCAGCCCCCAACTTTAAACTCCCCAGTGTCGTGTAAGCCCCCAGAGAGGCTGACTGAGTGGCTCCTCTCCTAGCCTTCTCCAGGGAAAGTAATCGAAGGGCTCAGCTCAAGCCAGGTACCCATGGCTGGAGGGCTGGGGTCCTACTGTAGCACCAGACCTCCCACACTACTTAAGAGTTTGGGTGAAGGAGAGTTCCTACAAAGAGATTGGGGGAATATAGACAGAATCACCTCAGTCCATCTCAACTTTTAGTAGTAGCCAATCGAGACTTACTTACAGCAAGTGTTTCTTAAGATTGCAAAGAGAAAAATGAAAGAAGCCCCAGTGTTAAGTAGAAGTTTTTTATACTGTTTAAAATACACTACATAAACACAGAATTAGGAATAAACTCTTCTTTTTTAGACCTCTTAAACTGCTAAAAGAGACTTATAAATTAATGGCAAGCAAAACCCCAACATAAATGAACTCAGGTTTATATTACTTTAATGTGGCACAGGGGGCTGCTGCATGGGAACCACTGCAGGATCACAGCTTAACTGACTCCAGTTAAGTTAATCAATGTTATACCCCTACTTCACCCCTGCCCTGCATGAGGCCACCCAGAAGCTATCTGGTTAAAACAACTGTGGCTAGCCACTTCCTGAGAGCTGTCAAGCAGGAAGAGGAGCAGGATACAGCTCTACCCTCCCTGGACTATGAACAGGGAGTCAAAGAATCCAAGGTGGTGGATACTTCAGCAAGTCACTTTTCATCTTTTAAATCAAAGAAATTACAGAACAAAATATGGCACAATTCTGAAAAAAACACTGGTCCTCTCTCCTTGACACCTGCCCCATCCAGGGGAGGGCTTCTGGAGGTGCCAAACTCAAGGTGGTGCCCACCCTCCTCAAGCCTGGGAAGAGCAGCCATCATTTGCCCTCAGTGTGTTTACAGCATCACACTCCTCCAGGGCTTATCGATGTCTGCTGCTGGTATATGCCAAGGGTCAAATTTCTCCATGTTTCCAACCCATGGGAGACCAAGAGGTATCAAGCCTGCAATGCCTCTGGCTGCTTGCCTGCCTTCCTCTGGCCTCGGTGGGCAGATACACCCTGCCCAGAGACTCCTTGGGTAGTAATCCTCACTGGGGAGGAAGTGTATGTGTGAGCACCATAACACATCCTGCAGATGTCTTCCATGTCTCTTGACGCATTGGTTCTCTTACTGCAGGGCAGGGCAATGAGGATGGAGATTCTTGAGTTAACACCTGGCAGCCAGGTACACTGGGGTAGAAGAGCTCCCTCAAGGTCACAGCTGCGGAGAGAAGTCAGGACCTAAAAACTGGCCTTACTAGTCCAGTCCTCTTTCTCATATGCAAAACAGAGCACAGAGCACATTAATTCAAGTTACAACCAAAAGCTTATAAAAGATGCAATCATTTTCACTTCTGGAGGTTTTTTTTTTTTTAATTTCACAAACATTTAGTATTTTTTCATAGTGAATATTTTGCAAAAAAGGGGGGAGGTGGTTCTCTCCAAAATTTCAATATGGCTCTTTACCTCTTATACTAATATTAAAACACCATCTGCTATAAAATAATATGAGTTAATAGAATAGAGGAACTATGCTAATTTTTAAACAATTATTTCAACATAAAAGAATAAAACATAATAAAGAGCATATGTTGCTTGGTGCTAATGACATAACATTTTTTAATCATATAGATGAAGCAAAACATACAACATGAACCAGATATTGAAATGGTTTAGAACTAGTCTAAAGACAAATATTTCAGAAAATATGTAGAAATGTAACCACAGATTTGTTATAGGGAGTTAATGCACTTTTTTGGTTTCTTGAAATGAAAATGCGTTCTGATATTAATAATATATATTCTAAAAATTATACAGGAGAAGCAGTTTTCATGTTTTAGTTTTTAAATCAAACTTTTGTCTTTACCACATACAGGATTTTGGGAAACTTAAACTCTCTGAGTGTCAGAATACTAATTTTTAGAATGGGTACAGTAACATCTTAAAGAATTATCATGTTGTTTAGATAATACCTGTAAAGTACTTTCCCTGGCATCTGACACATACTAAGTACTCAATAAAGAGTGGTGAGTACTTTTTCTATTACTAGTACTATTTTTCATTATTTACTACTAATAATCACCCTTCAAATCTAAAAATAAAACAGCTTTAGAAGAATTGAGTATGACTGTAGTAAAAGAATAAAATATTGGATTTCAGAGGTGGTACAGATGATATCCAGACTGTAATCATGGGAGTTTATGGCTACAGTGAAGTAAAGGTAGAGGTCATTGTCAGGAGTTGAGGTTGAGAAACTGTGAGGTGGTCAGAGTTGTTCACCCACATGATGGTTACTTCTTTCTCAGAATAAGGATAAGAGATGAGGTGGAGAAGAAGATTCAGTTGCGAAAGCCTCACTGGATGTAGGAGAATAACTTGGAAGATGATAACATGCCCCATTTGAAGCCTTCCCAGGAACTCCATCCCCCCTTTTGTCCAGCTCAGGCTAGAATACATCTACCTGGTTCTAACCTACTTTTCCATGCAATAAAGAAATCAGAAAGGGCACAAAGAAAACTGTACTACCATTTCCCAGCAGCACCTCAAAAACAAGTCTTGGGTGCTTGCTAATAACTGCAATCCACTGTAGATTAATGAGGAGGTTAACGTGCTTTTTGACCCCACACTTTGTAATATGGAGAACAGATAAAAATATGGATTCAAATAAATACAGATATTGACATCACTGAAGCAGCATGACATAAAATAATATTTATACACACAACATTCCTCTGCAAATAGCAAATGTAAAATAAAAGATACTAGCAGATAATTTTGTTTATCTCATGTACCACACAGAGAAGCAGTACTCCTAGCTGTCTCACTAGATGGTATCTCCCTTGGGTTACTTATTAAGACCCTATTTTAACTCAAATTTGAGCTAACCAACTCCCTCACTACAATCTGGCTTTTCCTTTTGGGGTATGTGAGCACACGAGTGCGAGCATGCACATGCATATGTGGTGCCAAGGATGGAACCCAGGACCTCACACATGCCTAGCATGCACTCTATGACTGAGCAGTATCCCCAGCCCTGTGGCATCTCCTTCTTTAAGTATAAAGTCTAATATAGTATGGCTCACCTACAGCTCCAATATTTGAAGTAAAGAGAGCTTTATGCAGATTTTGGCTTTCAATGGAACTCTGCTGACAGTACAAAGATTCAAATCATGGCCATTCCTAAGAACCATTCTAAGACCAGAGACAGAGTTACTTAAAAGGATATGACTTGTTGTAATTTTAAATATAATCCATGCTACTTTTCTCTATGACACAACATAATATTTTTTCCAAAAGTCTTTCAATATTCTATTAGCTGGAAAGGGAATAAAAAGTCATTTTATAAAATAGAGACACTCAAGCACTGATCTATTCAGAAAGTTCTTACACAGCTGAAGAAGTTTACATCAAATGGACAAAAATTAGTACAGAAAACCTACATAAAGACTTAGAAACATCCACCTCTTAGAAAGCAGGTCAAATGGACTCAAAGACCTCACTGAATACAAGAAAGTCAATGGGAAATAAAGTAATGCCTTCTCCTGGGAATAAACAGAAACCAGTCCATATAATCAAGAAGTTATTTTTCTTCTTGATCTAAATGCTTGCCTCCATCTGGGCTCAGAGAAAAGCTTTGGTCATTTGAACTGGTTGTCAATCAAGGTCCCCTTCATTTTAGCTTTCTTGGCTTCTAGTTCAGCCAGCTCTTGCAGTCGCCTCTTGCTCATGCCTTTGCGTTCCAGCTGTTTTTCAATCACTTTGGCATTCTGTGCATAGGAGTCAGCAACTTCCCTAGCCTCAATCTCCTCTTCTTCTTCATCAATGGTAGACACGGTGACAGAGCTGAACTTGCCCATGTCTTTGGTCCGTTTGGTCATCATCACCTTCTTTGGAGGCTCTTGTTTCTGAGTATATATATTTGTTTTCCCAAAACCCTGACCAAATTTCACTACTGCTCCATCCACGATGAAGGTCACAGGGGCATTCTTCGGCTGGGACTGGTAGAAGAGCGGTAGTCCACACTTGGCACACTTCTTCCTGTATTGTCGTTCAATGCCTTCAGGCCTCCGAAGATACACAGTCTCCTCATCTTCTGTATTACAAAATTTGTGAGCATGTTTAGCAGCATCAATCACACGGGATCGGTCGCGAGGCCTCATGGGCAACTTCTCTAACTGACAATCCAGCACCAGGACCATCTGGCCACACAAACAGTAGTAGACGTGGAGGGGCTTCTCACCATCATCATATTCCTCGCGATCCCGGGTATCGGAGCAGACAACCGACCGAGACACTACTTTAGGCATAGTCGAGGTTTTCGTTTTTTAAGCACGCTCACATCTATTATTTTTGTCTTATATTATTTATTGGACTATAATTCTCTTCCTTCCATCCCTTTCAGGAACCCCTGGAAGGAAACAGTTCAGATTCAAAACACACTAAATGATATTTCCCTCTCTTTCCCCGCCCATCATCTTTACAAGTGTCCCCTGTGGTTGCTCAGGCTCTGACCCGATCTCCAGCCTTCATATTAAGCAACACAGATACCAAGAGGAAATGGATCTTCCTGGAGAAGGCAAGAACACTTCAGGATGGGAGCAGCTTCTTTGTATCCTTCATGATTGATTTCCATTTCTTGGGCTGAAACTAAGCTCCTTGAAAACAAAGTCAATGTTTTTGTTCAAAATATTTCAACTAAAATTATTAAAAAAACAAAACTTTTTGAACAGGATTGAGATAAGCCTAGCCAACAATACCAACTTATAGTAAAGTGAAAAGGCAAAAAGAGGAGCCAACACTTAGGTAAGTATTGCACAGAAACAAGATATTTCAGTGGGAAAACAGGATGGGCAATGCACCCCACACACACCATGAATCAGCAAGCTGCAACTTAAGACAGGGCTTCTACGGTGACAAGCTGGCTCTATGGGCAGGGGCTTCTGTTATTTTTGTACAAGTACTTGCAATTTCCTTCTCTTATGGTTCCCAAAAGGTTCCATTCATTTACTGGAAAACATTCTGGTTTGACAAGTGATGATGTATCAAGGTGTTTTGAGAAACAGTCACCATGCTGTCCTCAATTCACACTGGTGACACATATTCTACAGTTCAAGAATGAAGCCTACATCCCATTCTTCTTACAAAAACTTCAATGGTCAAGAAGTTTAACAAGGGAAGCACCACAGAGAGTAAACCAGCTCAACACAAGGGCAGTGCAGGCCACATAAAAATGGCAGGCCAGTGGGGGGGGCCTTGCCCAAGGTCAGCCTGCTCATGAGATACAACCATTCCAAAGCCTTTACTAGTACTTAACAGCAAAGTGCACTCTTGACATAGGAGATAAGCTCTCACTAGCTCCCAGAGGGGCTAGTCAGATGCTTGCACCCTAAACGTCCCAAGGGCCCATAACACTGGTCACCAGTGGGTGGCACTATAGGGAAGTGGTGGAACTCTCAGGAGATGGGGCACAGAAGGAAGTTAAATGGTCAGGGGCACACTCTTGAAAGGGACATTAGAAGCCTGACTCCTTCCTGTCTATCTTCCTTCCCAGCTGTCATGTGGTGACCAGGTTTTCTCTACTCCATGCTCCCACTACCAGGTGCTGCCTTACTACAGGCTCAAAAAACAGTAGGGTTGAGTAAACATGAACTGAAACTTAGGAAACCATGAGCCAAGATAAATCTTTCCTTCTTTTAATTATTTATTTCAGGTCCTTTGTCACAGAGACAGAAAGCTGACTAACCCACTGACTTGGACTACTCAAGACCTTTAAGAATGGGAAGCTCCACATTCTAATTTATACTGAAAGCAAAGCCAGGTTTCAGTTTTATTTACTGGAAAGCAAATTACTAATTCAAGACTTGAAATCCAGGCAACCTTCAAAACTCCCTGCTAATGGAGCTTCAGGAAAACAAAGGGAGGATACTTATCTGAAGATGGTCTTAGGCCTATTTGCAAACACTGGTGTCTGCAATGCATAACAGTGTGCAGAATTCCAGCTCCAGCCAAACCCCTTGTTCCTGCTGATCCCTCTGCCATTCTCACCCTGGCACCTTCAGCAGGATAGCAAGTGAGCCCGTGAGGCACTGGCAGATTCACTCTATATACATTATTTCTTCCTAGATCACCACTGAAAGAGCAGAACAAATAATAATTTGAAAGTTCCTGTGTTTCAGGTGCCTTGAGTTGGGTAAGTCTGATTTATTTTTATCACCACTAAGAAAGCTTATTTTCTAATTCACAAATGTAGAAGCTGGCTTCAAGAGAAAACATATTTTCTAAGTAGCAACAAAATTCCTTAAAGGGCTCCAAATGCAAAGCAACAACCACAGATCAATGAAATGCCAGGAAGACAAAGTTATTTTTTAATCAAGGCAGGAAGCCAGGAGACTAGGAACGACCTGCCCAAGGCCTCCCAGTGGGCACCACCAGCCAATTCTGTTTCTAGCTTCCTCACCAGCAAATCAACATCAAGGAGAGATGTCTTGGTCTTCTAAGTACCTCGGAAATACTGAATCACACATTCTGCATGCTTAACTATATGTAGCTCTCTAGTGAAGTGGTATATTATCTACCTGCTTTAACTGTAAAAATGGAAACCGTTTTAATCATTTATTGATGGGTGGAACACTTTACTAAGGTAAAGTGTTCAAAGAACTTCAGTGCTCCATATTCTTATAAAAAAAGAAAAAGGAGTCAGAGGAGGAGGAGGGGGAAGGAGAACAAACCTCTTGCTCACTTGATCCAAACCGGAAGGATCCTGCCTAATCTACAAGGATTGCAATGAGCATCATTCCTTACCAGCTGAGCAAAGAGTGACCTGTGCTCAGGCCTGGTAAGGCTGGGTCAAGATGCACCTGCTGAAGAACAGACAGGCAACAATTACAACCATCACACAAAGGGAAACTCCCTTAGCCCGGCAGGTCTGCAAGGGTTCCAAAGATCAGTCTGACACCAGCACAACGAAACCTAAAGTCAAGCCATGCTCACCAGCTCTGAAGGATGCATTGGTTCTGCAGATATAAAAAATAAAACTCAAACAACAAAAGAAACTAAAACCACCTGATAACTCAAAAACCCAAGAAATTTCCAGTCCATTAGCAAAAACCTTATACCAGGGCCATATTTTGTCTTGGAGCTAGACTTTCCAAATTACCTCTCCCATGCAGTACAAAAGTGAGATTGTTCCAAAAAGCTGCTAGAACTAGTTTCCCTTTCTTTCACTGTGGCCTTATTCCAGAAAGATTCCTAAGCTGGTTATGTTTCTGAAGAGAATGTGAATGGGTTGGGATATCTGTGTAATCCTAAGAAAAGTGTCAAGAGGTACTTTAGCCATTACTTCTTTTTTTCTCAAATATTTGCAGCTGAATTCTGAAATAAAGAGAATGCACTGAGAACAAAGGCCCCCACAAAGTTTCTCCCTGCCACATAGCACATGTAATGCTACTACCACCGAGACAGTGAAAGCTAATTAAAAGCTCTACTTAGGCTTTTTACATTTTATAGTAAATATTCTTGGAAGTTGGGTAGTAAAGGGAACAAAGAAAATATGTTTTCAAAATTCAATTTTCAGATTGTTGCCATCTCTCATTAGAAGAAACCTGCAGAAAAACTAAAAGCTGGAAACCGGCATGAAGCAGGTACATCCTCCGAACCCCTTAAGCCTCCCCTTACCAGCCCACTTCAGGCCCAGCCTCCTTAACACAGGCCAGGACACTGACAGTGCAGCCAGGCAGGGTGGGCCTCTGCAGGTGGAATGAGCTCTCTCATCTGGAGAACACAGGTGTCACCTAACACCCTAGACTATGATCTGGCCCTATAAGTGGAGCTCAGTGAGAACTAGGCTCTTGGAGAGAACTGCCTACTCACTGGGCAAGGTGAACACATTCACAACATTCCAGAACGCTGGATGGGGAGGCAGTGGGCACGCTGCATGAAGATGACTGAGGTCGTAAATTAGCCTGAGCTACTGTACACATAGCCAAGGATCCTAACAGCCGTGCAGTTGAAAACCAACAGCACACTCAGTACAGCCACATAGGGCACATCTACCTACTATCAGTGAGAGGCAGAGAAATGCAATGGACACAAATGACACAAAGTCAGAACACCTAGGCTCTTGGCCTGGTTCAGGTCTTCATTTAACCATTCAGTCTCAGGCAAATCACACTCTGGGCACCTCATTGCACCACCTGCCACCCCTCATCCCCATGCCATCCCCACCCACCCAAACTACTGTGCTACACTGGCAAAGTTCCCAAAATGATATAAATTATGCTCACTCTATTTTGTCATTTGCTCCTTACAACAAAGCCTGGCCACCACAGAAAATCATTATTCCCAGTCTGAGTGAGGACATTCTGTGCACAACCAACAAGGCTAAGACAAGAAGTTGTCATCTCCCAAAGTTGGCACGGATCCTACAGTACTTTCTGAACTGCAGGCACCCAGGGGGCCATTGCTTCTACCATGACTTATACTATGGCTCATGAGTTTTTCTTCAAATAAATTTTTAACAAATGTGCTACATGAACTATTTTGATAGCTAAATATTTACTTAACTATTCAAATCTAAAGCTTGCTGCTCTCCTACTAGGGGCAGTGACAAAGATTCTCTGTTGGCCAAACTTTGGATCCTGAACATTCTTCTAGGCCCATCTGTGCACTACCTAATAAGAATCCAGGTTTAGCCAAGAGCCCTGCTTAGGTAGTTTAGCAAGGACCTCCCACCCAGGTATCTGATCATCATCCATAGCTGATCAAGATCATCATCGCTGACCAAGATCATCATCCCTTACCACCACCACTACTCTAGTACATGACTAGTAACTCTGGCCTATCCTTAGTAAAAAAAAACTGGTTAGACCAGTTTAGTCAGAATCCCCCTGACCCCTGATGTTCTCTCTAAGTAATTTTCCATCCACTGATCCCCACCCTACTCTTTGGCTATATGTTTCTACTTGCCCTCTGTAATTGAAACTGCGCCTAATCTCTCTCCCGAATGCAAGACCCTGTTGTGTCTCTGAACACACTGAGGTAGTCCTTTAAAAAACTGTCCTTACCATGCTTTAACAAGCATCACTGAATGGTTTTTTAATAGCAGACCTGCCCTTTAGGAAACACTGGACCAAGAGAGGGCTCATGGAGCCAGTGTGCCATCTCCATCTTCATCCCCAACCCTCAACCAACTGTCTGACTGTTGGAAAGCTTGACTCTGAATCCACGGCCACTGCCATAAAGTGGGAAAGATAGTCCTACCTACAAGGTTTGCTGGGAGAGGGATGTAGTTCAGTGGTAGAGCGCTTGCCTTAAACCCCTTAGTACCCAAAAAACAAACCAACAGAAGGTTTGTTGAAAATCTCAAATAAGAAAGTGCATGTGAGAGTTTGTAGACCACAACTCACGATG